TGAAGCAAACAACCACAATCACCTCTATTACCCTATCCATACATTAATTGAGTGAGTAACTCGGTCAATTGCAAGAATTGAAAAAGAAAGAGGGGGAAGGAGAAAGAAAGACAACACTCTCATAACCACCAGGTACCCCCTAAAATCGCGACCCACTAGCAAAACCACACTCCCAACACATCCATCTGAAACTTCCACGTCAAAAAGTTACCTCCATCTCCATTAAATCGATTTTTTCTCACTAAATCAAATTTAAATCCAAGCAGCACATAGCCAATTGCAAAGAAATAAAGACCCAAACTTATACATAGACTAACAGAGTGATATAAAGAAAGGAAAAAATAAAATTATACCCAACTTAGTTTCCATCTTTCACCTTTTTTCTCACCCTCTTCTTCACTACAGCTTGATGACAGTTTTTTTTATTAAGATTTTGTGGTGCTATGATGGGTCTATGGTGGTCTTGGTAGTGCATGAGGGGTGGTTGGGATGGTTAGTGGTAGCGCGNCTAACAGAGTGATATAAAGAAAGGAAAAAATAAAATTATACCCAACTTAGTTTCCATCTTTCACCTTTTTTCTCACCCTCTTCTTCACTACAGCTTGATGACAGTTTTTTTTATTAAGATTTTATGGTGCTATGATGGGTCTATGGTGGTCTTGGTAGTGCATGAGGGGTGGTTGGGATGGTTAGTAGTAGCGTGCACAGATAAAGAAAGTGAGAGATGAAACAGGTTTTTCAAGTAAGGTGTGAAAGAGAATGGTGATCGGTGATTATGGAGTGAGGAGTTGTGGGTAGGGGAGAAAATATTCAATGCAATGATGACACCATATCATCACCGCCACGTAATATCACCATCCAATTANTATGGTGGTCTTGGTAGTGCATGAGGGGTGGTTGGGATGGTTAGTGGTAGCGTGCACAGATAAAGAAAGTGAGAGATGAAACAGGTTTTTCAAGTAAGGTGTGAAAGAGAATGGTGATCGGTGATTATGGAGTGAGGAGTGAGGAGTTGTGGGTAGGGGAGAAAATATTCGATGCAATGATGACACCATATCATCACCGCCACGTAATATCACCATCCAATTAGAAAAATCACAAGAGTATATGGTGGTGGTGGAGAGAATAGAAATAAAGGAAGAAAAATCACAAGAGTTTATGGTGGTGGTGGAGAGAATAGAAATAAAGGAAGATATTTCAGAGTTACTTTTGGAGTCAGTTTGGTGTGGCCTGGCTATATCAGATTAGGGTATAGTATTTGAGGTTGGGTTAGATTAGATTGATCTTATCAATTTTCAACAAATGGCAAAATAGTCATTTCATTAAGCTCAGTTATCTGTGTTAGCTTTCTGTTACCACCAATAAGGGTACTATATCAAACTTGAGGGGGGTCCACGTGTTATAGTTACAAAGCCCAGTGGACTTGAATATAATTTACCGTAAATAAAATAAACAAATTCAAACACACATGAATTTACTACCTTCATTATAGTAAACTTCAAAAGGAAGTGATTGGCATTTATATGTAACAGAGATATAGATGTGTAGATAAATCAAATTCAAACTCAAAAAAACCGAACCCAGATTCAATAGTGAAAGTGTTTTGCAAATGTATACCGCAACTGATTTGCTTATAACCCTTCAGCAAATTTTTTGAGATAGAATTGTTATCTGCAGAATTGATTTAGACTTCGCTGTATATCGAAAGGGATTTGCTTGTAACCCTTTAGCAAATTTTTTGAGTGGGGGCAAATATCATCAAGTCAACTCAAAAATACTTGAGGTCTTGGGCAAAAGTTTTATATAGGGCCTAAATTATTTTTAGATGAATAATTTAGTAATTTTTGTTTTTAATTTTAATTATTTAGATTTTTATCTTTTAGTAGGTATGGTTAAGGTTGAAAACAACTTGCAAACTAAACACACTATGTGAATGATTATATGAAGATCAAAATTATGTTAAAAATTATAATTCAAAAAATTTAAATTGAATAAATAGACCAGAATTATTGAGAATTTATATAAAATGAGAAAGTAAAAGTCTTTTTTTTTTTACAACAACATGGTGCCATTTGTTTTCCTTTCATTTTCAATGTGCATATATTTATGATTTAAAGAAAAATCTTTTTTCAATTTTAGATCATTCAATAATGAAAACTTTCAGTTACATCCCTATTAATTTATCATATCTTCAACGACATCTTTTTTAGTTTCTAAATCTTCATTAACACTCCCTATAAAATTAAAGGTCTTAACTAGAATGCAATTTTAAAGTTTTATGATTTTTTTATGTATTAAAATTCAAGGCGACTAAAATTTGTTTTTAATCAGTTGGAATCAAATTTTAATTAACTCTCCTTGAATTTTAATCAACCAGAATTTTGATAGGTAAAAAAAAAAATTGTAAGCGACTCAAATTTTAATAAGTAAAAAATAAAATTTCATTAATTTGAATTGAATTTTAATTAGCACAAATTTGAATAAGTAAAAAAATATAAATTTTAATCGATTCGAACTAAATTTTAATATGTGCTAATAGCTTAGGTTAAGCTCAAATCGGCTTGAATTTTAATAAGTAAAAAAAAATTAATAGGCTCAAATTTTAATGCGTAAAAAAAAAATTTAATCAGGTTGAATCGAATTTTAATCCCCTCAAATTTTAATATGCAGTATAACAAATTTTAAGCAGTTTGAATTTTCATATGTAAAAAAAATAAATTTTAATCAAATTTTATATATAAATATTGTTTGAGGTGTATGTAGGGGCAATTTTGATATTTTAAATATTTTTTTTTATATAAATGATGGTTTAATGATAAGGGATGTCAATTAAATATAAACTAAAAATGGTGTAATAATCTTTTTGAATAATAGAGATGGTGTCTCTAAAGATATGATAAACTATAAAGAGTGTGGTGAATTGTTTTTTTTAATATGACATCCTGAATTTTTTATATATATATTTTTTAAAATTTAATCTTATGATTTTAAGAGATGTACAAGAATGAGACCGAGAAGAGTCCCTAGGCCACCACCCAGGGCTCGCCCAATAGTATTTAAAAAAAAGAGCATGGGTTTTAAATTCTAAATTTTTAGAAGGTCCCATAATTATAGGTATATAATGAGTCCATATAAAAATTTTAAATCCATGAAAATTTTAGGTCATATAAAAAGGCCCAAAAAATTTAAATTCAATCAAAAAATTATAATTTCAATAATTTAGGCCTACAATTCAATCCATAATATTAGAGACTCAAAAAATCAAAAATTTAAAAGATAAATAAAAAAAATTTAAAAATCAACTCATATTTACTCATCCCATCTATCTCTCTCTCTTAAAAAACAAAAACAAAGTATTACATCCTCCTCTCTCACTTAAAATAATTAATTTTTTTTTTAAATAATATTAAAAATAAAAAAACCTTATTTAGTATTACCGTTTTAGACCTCAATTTATGTTGAGCCGGCCCTGCCACCACCTCAATTGTCCTGAGGTGAAACCGACCCTTACTATCACTTAAAAGAAAGTAATTTTGCGTGCGTCGAAGTATAATTTACTTTGTTTATAGCATTCAGCATCTGTTTTTTCTAACAGACAGGAGACTTATTAAATATTTTATTTTCCCAAAAGTACTTTATAAAAGGTTGGAACCAAAGAGTAGCATACTCTTTTTTTTTTTAACTAAGAGTAGTGTACTTAGATCTCAAAATCAAATATCAGGGTCTTGTACAAGACCACCTTGCGAAACAGTGAGATAAGGTGGTGGACCTGGTGGTGGTGGGAGGAGAGGGAGATGGGCACATGGACATGGGGAGAGAGAGAGAGAGATGAGTGGAAAAAGATACAGAGAAAAATATTTTTAAGTTAAGTAAAAAAATCGGGTAAAATGGATACTTCATTTAGACAGAGAACAAACTATCACTATTAATAATAATTTATCTACCTATCTATACATAGTATATAGTAACGTAGTTGGCTTGAATGAGTTCCAAAACTCCATCTTAATTTTCTTGAATTTTTTTTTTAAAATTATCAAATTTGATTTTTTTTTCTTGAATAACTTAAATTTTAATTATAGCGATAATTTCTAAAATTTCTCAACGGTTAACAATGCATTGATCTCATTAAAATAAATCATTTCATCTAACTTATGTAACTATTCCCATCAAATTACCCTATTTTATTCTTCTTAATTTAGCACAATAATAGATAATTTTCAAAAAATAATAGGGTTGCGGTTAAAATGGTGTGATAATAAGGGGTGAGTGGTGGGATTAATGATAGTGATAGAGATGGTAGAATTGTGATAAAAAGGATTAAAAATATCGTATATCATACGAAGTACTGCTAATAAATTTCATTTAAGTATATTTGGCTAAATAGTATTTAATTATAAGTAATAATCTAAAAAATTATCTTATTTGTTGAATAATATCTAATAAAGTTTGAATAAAATATTATTGAACTACGTCACCACTAATCACATAAATCAATTTTTTTTAAAAGTTTAGATAGCATTAAATTATCCGTAATACTATATTGATTAAATTTTAGGATCAAATTTAGAACCCAAATGATTTGACAGTATATTATTTAGAGTCTTTATTGTGGTTCAAATGACATAACATCAAATAAAGAAACTCAAGTCAACTACCATGCTATTTAAACTCTAAATTTAATCCTAAAATTTGATCAACATAGTATTAATCCTCGTAATCCCAACGTAATATTAGTCCTCGTAACCCTTTTGGTGGTGTCAAAGAAAATTCGCACACGTAGACGTAGTGCAGAGGATCCAACTCTCTGTTCATGTCTCTTCGATCCCACCAACGTTTGGCGGTGGTGGAGAGGGTTTAACTGGTTTATCTACCTACCTCATTTCATTTTGTCCTATTTCCGCTTTATCCAAACACCATTCCCATTTTTATGCCTTTTCGCTGTATTTCTCGAATCAGTTCAATTCCTACCCTGAAGGTTCAGAAAAACGTAGCCTCCACGAATGGCTTCGACACACCTGTATTACCCTTCACTGACTCTTGCCCGTTTGCGGTAAGTCTTCATCGAACCCTCTATCTCTCTTTATTTATATATATGTATCTGTCTCTCTCTATATACCATATACAGATATATGCTGCCCTTTTGGAGATGGAATTGGGAGTCATCCTGTGCAATTCGGTTGGATGCGTTGTTCTCTTTGGAGTTTTGGGTTTGGGGAAAACTTACCTGAACTTTTGTTTTTCAGAGTGTTCTATGCTTTTGAGTTTGTAATCCTTTATAGTTATTTGTGCTCCCCCTTCTTTTCATATTTCTTATGGATCTAGGGAAGAATTCAGGTGTAATTTGTAGCAGGGCACACCCATATCACATTGCGTAAAAATGGTAGTTTTGGTTTGAGATTAGAGGGAGAGAACTGTTGAATATGATTCATTCACCTTAATATGCTTCATTTAAGAAGTCCTCTTAGAAGTGGCAAGGGTTAAAATTGCATACTAGCCAAGTGTTGCAATGACTAAATATTCAATGCACAGGTGGTACCATATTATCAATGTCACATTCAATAGAAAACAATTAAATGGAATTGTGTGGGATCCACTAGCTTAGTTTGCTTCGTTGTTTCTATCTCATTGGATGGTGACACCATGTGGCGGTGACGTTGTGGTGTCATCATTATATTGAATATTTTCTCGCCAAGTAGAGGATCTTTGACATGGATGATCTAAAGGACACATTGTGAAATGCCCTTCTTTTCTATTTGGCTGGGCATGTGAGAGACAGAGGAAACTCCACCTATGCAACACAGTAATGGTTGGTGGGCATGTTATCATGTCCTGGTTGCCTGTAATATTATGAAAGTGTAGTTGAGTTGATCACAGTTTCTTGTTTTAGGTCAAACAGGCTCAATAACATAGAGCTCATTAGTACGTGATACTGTTGATCTATAAGCATTGAATGCAATGTGGACATGACCGAATTCATAATATATACCTACTTTATGTGATGCCGAAATTCCCTTTCCATTTTCCATAATATGTTGGTATAATTTTTTCTTCTTCTTTTTTGTTAGATATCACAGTGGTCTGCGCTCTGTGAATCCGGTCAAAGCAAATTGCTACACATCAGGTTTGATCTCAATTGGTCTCACTAGAAAATTGTGCTTTAGTTTCAAGTGTGATGGTAGAGCTAGAGCTGCACTGGTATTTGGAGAGGGTGATCCTAGACCCAATATAAATGCAGGACAAAGATTCTTTATTAATGAACGGGCAGACCCACTGACTGGGATTGAGAGACAACCTGATGCAATAGCTTTTGGAACACATGCAGCAGAAATAACTCCACCTACTGGCTTTTCTAACTCTGACGATGAATTTGACTTGGATCATCCTACGGAAGGGTTCTCTTCCATCATGGAGGCCATTGGAGACATTCGCCAAGGCAAGGTTGGTCATTTTGTTGGTGATTTATGTGCAGTGAGAAAGCTTTGTTACAAAATCGAAACTAATTTGGGAGGATATTGCAGATGGTAATTGTTGTAGATGATGAAGACAGAGAAAATGAGGGGGATTTAATAATGGCAGCATCATTGGTGACCCCGGAAGATATGGCCTTTATTGTAAGGTATGGAACTGGAATAGTGTGCGTGAGCATGAGAGGAGAAGACTTAGAGAGATTGCAACTTCCATTGATGGTATTGCAGAAGGAGAATGAGGAGAAACTTTGTACGGCGTTCACAGTCTCAGTGGTATGTGAATTACTGGTCTTACAAAATTCAGAAGCTATTATTTTCTCATTTGAGAGACTTGCATCCAAAAATAACAAAAAGTTTCTCGTGCCATCTAACATGAAACAGATCTTTTCAGCACAAAATTTGTGCAGACCTACATGAGTAGAATGCATCTGTGAAGTGCATACCTTACCCCGTCCCAAAAAAAAAAGGTCACCCCTTGCTAATGTTGAGTACATAGCAGTTGCAGCTTTTTTCTCTCTTTTCTTTCATCTTCTTTGTTGAGTACATTGATTCAAGGGAGAAATGAGATGGATTTGTTCCACCATAAAAACCTATCTAGTTCTTACTTTCCTAACTTTTTTTGATACATTCGAACAATCATTTTTGGGATTGAAGGATTTTTGGGATCATGTTTTGTTTTTGGTCACAATATATACAGGGGAGGGGGCTGGCGAGACTCGAACCTTGTATATAGGGGCAAGGTTGGAAAGGCACTGGGTCAGTCCTCCTTTTGCTCGGAGCATATTCATACATCTAATTTTAAGAATCTGTAGTTGGTCTAGTGACCATAGTCATTCAGCTTGAATGGTGATTAAAATAACACCAGTGTACTACTAGTGCAGAATAATGTGTTGTATTATATCTTTCGACCAATATACGGAGGAAGAAAAGGTTACCTCGGAAAAACAATCTATTTCATGATCTGTCACCTCTTTAAAATTAGTTCAACGGTAAAAAAAGAGCTATGTAGATATACTTATAGCTAGGTTGTGTCAATCTTTCCTAACCTACTTTCCCCTACGCACAGAAAATAACACAAACTAAATTTAGTTGTTCTAGAACTTTTTCTTGATAAGTCAATTGTGGGATGCCTTTGATGTAGGACAAGTATGTGGCCACTCTTCTACAAGCTTGGATGTCAAACTTGATGTATGACACCCAGTATGTCCTCTGAGCCAGCTTGTAGGGTATCGATATTAAAATTTGATGAGTTAAGGGCTATTCTGTGTGTTGGCTTTATGTTCTGATTTAAAGCTATAAGGTTTTAAGTTGAGTTTGAGGAGAAAATTGGTCAGGCTTACTGAAGATTTGATGAACAAAGGTTGATCACATCTGATTGCCGTCTTTAAAGGTTTGAAACTGCTGTGGCAAATTTGGCACAATCTACACTCTTGTTGAATATTCACACGAGACTCATGAATAAATTTTGCACTCTGGAGTCAATTGGGTGTCAGGTGGCCACAATATAGTAGGTGATCAAATTGTGATCCCATATCTCGTGGGTATATTATATGCACATGAGCATCATTAAAAGATATCAGAGTCTTGTGTTTAATAAAATATACAATGCAAGCCTTTGAGGAAAATGAAAGTTGGTGTTGACTATTCGAATTTCCTTTCGGCATGCTATGTGAGAAAGTTTAATGATTTCTTGTTCCCTTTTTANTTGGCACAATCTACACTCTTGTTGAATATTCACACGAGACTCATGAATAAATTTTGCACTCTGGAGTCAATTGGGTGTCAGGTGGCCACAATATAGTAGGTGATCAAATTGTGATCCCATATCTCGTGGGTATATTATATGCACATGAGCATCATTAAAAGATATCAGAGTCTTATGTTTAATAAAATATACAATGCAAGCCTTTGAGGAAAATGAAAGTTGGCATGAGTTGGTGTTGACTATTCGAATTTCCTTTCGGCATGCTATGTGAGAAAGTTTAATGATTTCTTGTTCCCTTTTCAGTTTCCTTTTGTAATTATCCGAGTTTCTATGTTTAGTCAATGAGATTTTGATGTTACATCGACAAATTGCGTGCTTTCCACGAATAATTTTTCTAATCAGTGCATGATTTCCTTGAGTCATATTTACTCTCCTAACTGCAATTGCATACTGCATTTCATAGGATGCAAAGTATGGTACAACAACAGGGGTCTCAGCTCGTGACAGGGCACAGACAATATTGGCTCTTGCATCTAGAGATTCAAAACCAGGGGATTTTAACCGCCCAGGTCATATTTTTCCTCTGAAGTACAGGGAAGGAGGAGTCTTAAAAAGAGCTGGACATACGGAAGCTTCTGTAGATCTTGCTGTATTGGCCGGCTTTGACCCTGTTGCAGTTCTATGCGAGATTGTGGATGATGATGGTTCCATGGCTAGATTACCAAAGCTCCGTCAATTTGCACAGGCGGAGAACTTGAAGATAATCTCTATTGCTGATTTGATCAGGTAGATGTTTTATATGAAACTCATATTTGCATTGCGTGGTTGGATTGTATGGAGCGCTAACTATTTCAACTAGAGTATAAGGAACAGCTGACCCCATTTAGTTATATGTAGCTCCGCCTAAGTATAAGAGTCTCAGGATTAAGGTCTGAAATTCAAGGGGTTGTGGGCAATGATTGGTTTTGTTCCAATCTCAAGTTTTTCTATTAAGAGCCAGGAATTATAATTAATAAACTGTTAGCAAAGTAAAACATGTACAACTAAGCACACAAAAAAGTGGTATACCCAAGAAAAATATGAAAATAGGACATAACCGGGGTTAGTTATATTAATATGAAACATATGTAAGAAAACATTTGACTCAGTCAAAAAACATATCCACTGCTTGTGCAATTATCTCCATCGCAATTACAAATTTAGGATGGTATGGCACGAGTTTGAATTTAACTATCTAAATTACTTGACAAAAAAAAAAAGCAGCTTGATTCTGTGCAGATGCTTCAATTGTGTGCCTTTGCACATATGATGCTTTAAGAATTATTCTTTCCTTTTTCCCTTTTCCAGTGTCATTTGGTAGAGTGTATTCCATTTCCCAATAAACCATTGAAAAAGGGATAGATATATCTCAGCTTTAGAGCTTATTCATGCTGATATCTGATCTCAAACTCGTGTAAACAATGAGTGCAAATTCAGTTCTGTTTGTCACCCAAAACTATTTGGGTGCTCAAGTATTCCCCCTTCAAAGGAAAAATATATAAACTTCTAGATTAATATATAAACTTCTAAGTTAAATGTTATATGGTTTTTGCATTTGTCCTAATGGGGGAGTTGCCTTCTGAATTCTTTTTGTGTTTCCAAATTGATGATAGAAATATGTGCTAATGTATTCACATTTCATTGGCAGGTATAGAAGGAAAAGAGATAAACTAGTAGAGAAAGCTTCTGCTGCACCAATACCAACAATGTGGGGTCCTTTCAATGCATACTGCTATAAATCTGTATTGGATGGGATGGAGCATATTGCTATGGTCAAAGTATGTGATATAATAGGATCACTCAACATTAAGGGCGCTCGGCCTTTGCATTTCTTTAATCTGCCTGTAGAAATTTCTGCTTTAGTGTGTTGGGTAGAAATATTGCCTATTTTCCATTACCAGATCTTCATGTCTGTTCATTTTCTAAAATATGCATTCTGTATTCTAGTTACTAGCACTAGATACCAAGGTTTGTCCAGATTATTAGCAATGCACTTCATATTTCATTNGGGTAGAAATATTGCCTATTTTCCATTACCAGATCTTCATGTCTGTTCATTTTCTAGAATATGCATTCTGTATTCTAGTTACTAGCACTAGATACCAAGGTTTGTCCAGATTATTAGCAATGCACTTCATATTTCATTTAACATTCCTTCAAATAGTCAAATCTTTTCTTTCTGCCTTTTTCGAGTAATCATGTTGGAACTATGATCTGAGCAGGGGGAAATAGGAGATGGCCAAGATATTCTTGTAAGGGTACATTCGGAGTGCCTCACTGGTGACATATTTGGGTCAGCTAGATGTGACTGTGGTAATCAGCTGGCACTTGCAATGCAGCAAATTGAGGCAGCTGGCAGGGGTGTGTTGGTATATCTCCGTGGACACGAGGGAAGGGGAATTGGTTTGGGTCACAAGCTTCGTGCTTACAACCTGCAAGATGATGGACGTGACACAGTTGAAGCCAATGAGGAGCTGGGATTACCTGTTGATTCCCGAGAGTATGGCATTGGTGCACAGGTACTATATAACAATTTTCTTGTTTCTAAAACTAGCAGTTTGACAGTATGCATTGGCTCATTGCATTTTATCAATGTTGGCTTCTAGTATATGATTCATGGTAGATATGGAACATAGCTCAACTTGATTCGTCCAAGGACTCTCCATATTCATTACAGTTGCCTATGTTCTAGTTTATTGAGGGCTAAATTTCCATTGAGTTATATGATGGTATATTTCCTCGACTGCCTTAACTCACTAAATTTTTGTCTTCACTGAAACAATCTAGTATGGAACATCTTGCGCTTCCTCAAGTATAGATCACTTTTCTCTCTCTTTATCTTGAATTGGAAGTACTTCCACATTTGTCGTGTATATACTTGTTTATTTGTCATTTCTTTCTTTCAATCTTTTATTAACAGCATTTCTGTCACTAATCTTCTGAGCCAGTCAAAATGCTTGTCCTATGCCAACAGGAAACTGAACCCAGATTTTGCTACATTGTGAAAGAGTGTTAGCTAGAGAGGGTAGGAAAGGTTGATTATCCTAGTGAATGGGTCTAATTGCCTGTTATAATAAGCAAAAGAGTTGATCTGTGTTGGTGTGAAAGATTGATGGATCTATGGTTTGAGTGAAATTCTTTTGAAGTCATATCTCACTGCATATAACTGAAAATTTTGGAATCTTTCCTGGGAGTTGATACCTTTTAGTAATTGTACTAGAAGTTATGCATACAACTGCAAAGNTTGTGTGTTGCTCATTTGGTAGAGCATTGGGCTTTTAATACCGGTGTATTAGCTGTGAGTTTTGATATTGGATAGGATTTATTATCAATCTAACAACAATAATTGATTGAGTCTAATAAATCTAATCAACGACGTTATTGTATTGTTTTATTTTTGAGTTTGTGTAAAAGNGGGACATTGATTGTGAAGTGTTATTACTCTTATTATCTTGTAGAAGGGACATAATTTCTGAAGCAAGTTATTCTTTCATATGTTGAAGAAAGAGAATGTATAACAAGCAGTTTCTTTCTTAAAGTGTAGATGAACCTTCTGTTTGTAAATTCAGCTCATCTAGATGTTGGAAGATCCAGCAGGGTAAAAAAGGTGTAAGATACTGAGAATCAGCATTTTCATGTTGCATGGTTATTTTTTTTTTCAAATAATACTACGGCGACCTAATTTGCTTAGCCAATCTGCTCCTTATTTACCATTACATCTTTTTCTTTGTGTGTTGCTCATTTGGTAGAGCATTGGGCTTTTAATACCGGTGTATTAGCTGTAAGTTTTGATATTGGATAGGATTTATTATCAATCTAACAACAATAATTGATCGAGTCTAATAAATCTAATCAACGACGTTATTGTATTGTTTTATTTCTGAGTTTGTGTAAACGCTACTTTTCAACTAGGAAAAAATTATCCCTCTTTTTTGTCTATGTCAAGTGTTCAGAACTCGTCCTCGGCAATTAAAAAAAAAACAGTTGCACAAATTAACTAAGAGGATTTTCATGATACCAAAGATTATTTTGACATACAGATGGATGCAGGCTGCTTGTACTGACTGACACTGAGCAAACTAATTTTTCTTATTTTATATTTCATAAAGACCCATTTCTCTACTAGGGTTGCAACTTGAAAAGATCAACCCGTATGTAACCCGGAATGTTCAATACTTGGGCAAAGATTTTTAGTATTTAGCTTGAGTTTTTGCAAAAAAAAATATCTCAACCCAATTTAAATTCGGAGAGTACTTGAGTTAAGATTCAGATTTTTGAGACGTAATATGCNCAACCCGTATGTAACCCGGAATGTTCAATACTTGGGCAAAGATTTTTAGTATTTAGGTTGAGTTTTTGCAAAAAAAAAAATCTCAACCCAATTTAAATTCGGAGAGTACTTGAGTTAAGATTCAGATTTTTGAGACGTAATATGCACTCACCTAAACTAGTACATTCGGGTTTGACATGAATTGATGAATTCAACTTGAATGGCTACCCGAGTTGCATAACCCTATTATCAAACTCGAAGTGAACCTAGATTTCAATTGCAAAATCGAACTCAATTTTCAACCCAGGTTGTTCAAACCAAGTTCAAAGTTTTAAGCATTAGCAGTACTCAGATTGAATGGTTCATACTAAATTCAGAGGTTATGATTATTATAACGTGTGCGAGTGCAGATTGACGTCTCAACTCACCCGGGTTGCATTTCTAGTAACGAGATTGACCATCTTTACAAACCTCTAGAGCTGGCCCTCCATTTGATAGATGATGGTTGATCACATAATGGGGACCCTNCAGATTGAATGGTTCATACTAAATTCAGAGGTTATGATTATTATAACGTGTGCGAGCGTAGATTGACGTCTCAACTCACCCGGGTTGCATTTCTAGTAACGAGATTGACCATCTTTACAAACCTCTAGATCTGGCCCTCCATTTGATAGATGATGGTTGATCACATAATGGGGACCCTCATGTACCCCTCCATTTCATGTGACCCTAATGCTGTTGTAGATCATTAGACTTCAACAGATAACCCAAGCAAGATGAAGTGAATAAGCCAAGAAATAAATTAAATAAGATGCCTTTGCAACCAATTCTTAGAAATGAATTGTACAACAAATTAGGATGGATTTTACCCCCCTGATCTCGAACATAAATTAATTAGATCTTTGTCCAACATGGAAAGCTTCTAAACCATCATCGGTCCCGATCCAACTGAAGCCAGTATCTTTAGATATCCCTCTTCCCTTCATTAACTCCCTGATTTCACTTACATTGTCCCATCTCCCAGCCTCCGCTAAAGTATTGGATAGCGCAACATATGCGCCTGGCCTGCTATCACTACTTAATTTGAAAAGTTCATTGGCTGCTATATTTGCAATCTCTACATCACCATGAATTCTACAAGAACTTAGCAGAGCCGCCCAAACATCAGAATTAGGTCTTTCGGGCATTTCCATTATGAACTCCAGTGCCTCATTTAAACCTCCTGAACGGCCCAAGAGATCAGTCATGCAAGCATAATGCTCCATCCTTGGTTTTACTGAGTAATCTCTCTGCATGCTCTCAAAGATCTCTCTCCCTCTAGCAATTAGGCCCGCATGTGCACAAGCCGAGAGAGCACTAAGGAATGTTACATAATTGGGCTCAATGGGATGATATCCTTGCATTCTGCTGAACAGCTCGAGTGCTTCATTGGGATTTCCATTCTTTCCATAACCATCAATCATGGAAGTCCACGAAAACACATTCTTTTCAGGCATGTGGTCAAAAACTCTTCTTGCATCCTCAGTTCTCCCACATTTCGAGTACATATCTAATAGAGCGCTTCCCATTTTTATGTCAGTAAAAAATTCAGTCTTCATAAGTTGTCCTTGAACTTGCTGACCGATTTCAAATGCCGACAATACAGAACAAGCCCCAATGATACTCGCAAAAGTTGATATCGTAGGACTAAAATCCAAACGTTGCATGTCAATATAAACCTCAAGCGCCCTCTTAGCAGTGTCAATTGATTTGCTATAACCTTCAATCATAGCATTAAAAACCACCACATCTTTTTCAACCGTTTTCTTGAATACATCCTCAGCATCTTCAACACTGCCTTGTTTCAGGTATCCCGTGATCATTGATGTAGAACAAACAACATTCTTTTCCAACATCATCTCAAACACTCTCCTTGCATAACCAACCCTGCCACCCTTAACATACGAGTCAACCAGCGCCGTGTAAAGGATATCATCAGTCTCCACATCAAATTTCACTATCTGCGCATGAACCTCCCTCCCTATACGAATTAACGACACATTATCACCAGTAGATGCTTTCAAAATCATGGAAAACGTATAGCCATCAGGCTTTTCATTGGATAAAACCAGTCTATGGACCAAATCAAACGATTCTCCAACAAATCCATGTTTAATATATCCAGAAATCATGTAATTATAAGCAGAAAGAGTTGGTTGAGACAACTTATCGAACAACTGGCGTGCATATGACAAGCAAGAAGATTTAACATACAGAATGAGGAGTTTGATGGAGATGTTGGTATTGGGGCTAAACCCAGTTTTGAGAATGTGTGAATGGATCTTCTGTCCATGGCAAGGGTTGTCTGAGTTGATATAGTGTTGCAAAGCTGAGGAGAGACAATAGGCATTGGGTGGGTGCAAAAGGTAACTAGTTGCTGCTGGCGGGGAAGTAGGATTGTGTGGCACCGAGGGTTTTGAATGATGGGTTGATGAGAAAATGGAGGTTCTGAATGTGGGTAGCTTGCCATTTTTCATTTTCCCATTTGGTCTGTTTGTGCAGTCTAGAATTGCATCTCAATTGACCCAAAGAACATCAAAAAGATAAATTGTAGAAGAAGATATCAGACAAGGTTTTTTTTTTTTTTTGCTGTGAATTAGTTGCTTATGCGAGTTGCAATGTAAATTGGTCAGAAACTATACCTTCAAAGTTGTTTCTGAGGTCAGGTTTATCAATTAACACAGAATAGTAATAAAATGGATCTGATTAATGTTAAAAATAATTAACTTGTTTTAGTAGAAAAAAATAAGTTTTATATAACTTATTTTAAAATTAAATAATTTTTTTAATTACTATACGAATATAATACGACTGAAAACAAACAATACAAAGAAAATAATATTTTAAATAATAAGATACAAAATTGACACAATTCATAATAACACGACTTAATAAATATTAACATAATACAACTGGATTAATACTCTAATTGTTACTGGATAAGTGGCCCACATTTCTATTTTGTTTTGGACCTTGTTAAGAAGAAATTTGGGTTTAGTTTAGGGCCACAGGTCCACTAAAATAAAGATGGAATGAATATTTTGGGTATGCCCGGCTCGGCTCGGCTCGGCTCATTTTATTCAATGATTGCTTAAGTTTGGCTCAAAATATTGTTTAACTGTGTGGTTCATATCGAATTTGAGCCAAACTCAAGCGAAAAACAAGTCATTCAAAAAATAATAATTTTAAATCCATAAATTTCAAATTCCTAATTAAAAAAACTCACAAAAATGCACATAAATCTAAATTTAAACACAAATCTGAGCATCAAATACTTCTAAATCACAACAAAAATATATAAACTTTAAACTTATATGTATATTATAAATTTATATGTATAACATACAAACTAAACATTTTTGCTAATTTTACTGAATTAA